CCCCTCTTCTCTCCCTCCTCTCTCCCTCCTCTCTTTCTCCTCTCTCCCTCCTCTCTCCCTCCGCGTTCTCCGCCCTTTCTCTCCGCCGTTCCTTACATTAGACTACGCTGCGTGCTCTGTGGGCCGGGCTTAACAGCGCAGCGAGAGAGCAGCGAGAGTCTGATTACGAGACAGGTTGATGGCTCACACTCATTACTGGTTTAATCAGGATAATAGGAGCGAATGTTGGTTTTATGAGGCTCATTTGCTTTAAGCACTATTAATGGATATTTCATAAAGGCGAGAGCGAGCTAGTTAAGCGCTCAGCACTTTAATTTTGATATACAGTGTAGCCATTGTTAAGTCGTGCGCGGGGGATTTTTCCTGTTATCGTCAATGTTGAGTTTGTCTGATGAGTCTCGCTGTGTGTGTGTGTTAGTGAGGAGCAGGATTTATGATTGTTTGTAAAAACATTAGCGATGCTGAGGTCTCTACGTCGTACAATGAACGAAGCGCCGTGGTCGAGCCAATAATGCAGAGGAGTACATAAACAACACACACAGACATGCATCCTCCCTCTTACTCACCTCCCCCCCTCTCTCTCTCTCTCTCTCTCNCTCTCTCTGTGTCTGTCTGTCTCTCTCGCTCACGCCAACCACTCATCCTTTCCATGCATCCATCCATCCATCCATCCATCTGTCCGCCCGTCCGTCCACCCATCTATTTTTCCATCCACCCATCTCTCTATATTGCATTACAGAATGTTATACGTAATGAGATATGCTTGTGTATCACTGCCTTATTGCCGGCTAACACCTGTTGGTGCAGGCTTATCTAATNCTAACCCTAACCCTAACCTTATCCCTATCCCTATCCCTAACCCTAACCCTTACCCTAACCCTAATCCTAATCCTAACCCTAAGCCTAACCCTAACCCTGACCCTAACCCTAATCTTAACACTATCCTAACACTAGTGCTGCCACGTTGCGGCAACCTCCCTCCACGCCCGGGGGATAGCATTACCCGTGAATTAGTAGGAGGGTATATAGCGCCACCGCGCGGACATTTATTAAAATAATAAAAAAATTTAATTGTAATTTTAAACTTTTTATTTTTATTTTTTTATTTTTTAGACCTTATAAATGGTTTCGCGACATGCTGATTAAGAATATATATGGTGTTGGGGGTGAGCTCTTACGGGGGAGAGAAGATAGACAGAAGGACAGACACAAAAACAGACTCGCCCTTTATGTAAGAGATGTATTATCTCTAGTTACACAACAACTACTGACATCTAGACAACGTCATGACCGCCTGATAATAACGAACGGTGGTCTCCAATCAGCCATCAACCGATTCCTCATCCTTATCCAAACAACACTGAATCGTATAGCAACAAACCTTTACCTTACATATACCTTGCATAGTACCTTACAGTTACGAACCTTCCCTTATTTTATAGCAACAAATTCTAATCTTAGATCAATAAACTCTTATCTTCGTTGTTGCGGTACATTGGCCTTAAGATATCAGTGTATATCTTAACGATGACGTCGCATCACGTGAAGTTGAATTTCGTAACGCTACGTTTCAGACCGCAGCACGGATTTAGAATATGCATAGAGCAAGTCAGCCACCATCCACCCATCTCTGCAATTCACGCTGAGTCCACCACAGGGCTCTGGAGACTGAATGTTGCGATACACCCGAAGCTGAGCTTCTGGGGAAAACATATATCAGTGACGCCGAAGGGACAAGTAACAGTAGAGCTGTACAGGTAAATAAATAATATCAGAGGTTTACAGGTAACACATGACAGCAGAGCATACCTGTACAGGTGAACGGATTATGCTAATACACACACACACGCACACACGCACGCACGCACGCACACACGCACGAACGCACGCACGCACGCACGCACGCACGCACGCACGCACGCACGCACGCACGAACGCACGCACGCACGCACACACAAACACACACACAGACGTACACACAGGCTAAGGAACTTGCTTCTACGCTTTCGTTGCATGTCAGCCGGAAGGAGATTTACACGTGGAACCATGCTGACGTCATTATACATAACATAATCATCGGCACGATATGGATCGAACGAGTAAGCAGCCTCACAGTTCACATCGATGTCTCCCTCTACCGCATAGCTTCCCATACCTCATACCTCATACCTATACATACACAACTTACCGCGTTTCCTTTCTCGCCAATACAGCAACCATTATATTATAATTAGTGATGACTACGAAAGTTAATAAATTATTTATTCATTTTAATTAAATAAAAAAATTAATAAAAGTTTAAACGATTTAGTTTAAATTTAATTTATTCAAGAATTTCTTCATTTATTTATTTCATTATAAGGATAAGTAGGATTAGTAAGTATTTATGTGCAGGTAGGAACGATTAAGATCGTGAATCACTCCAACAAACACAAAGTTCAACTCAACTTTAAGAAGTGTGGATGGTTCGGCACAGCAGGGCTACACCGTGTGGAAGGATGCCTCACGAACAACGAGTAAGAACTAGAAACAAGCAACCACCCTCTCACGCTGATCGTTCACTGTTTCCAGGTTTAATGCTAACCTTTTCTGTCTTCACTCATAATACGAACCCTCAATGGTAGTAAATGCCTCTAGGCACCATGTATCAGAGTATCATATCGTAAAGCATGCGTCTACGCTACACGTTCGTTGCCATGGTTACAACCCGCCCGGCCGACGCTCATAGCCACTCCGGAGATGTTCGTTGTGATTGGTGAAGCCATGTGTATCTGCTGTTGCTGTTGCAGGAAGAAGAAGCTGGTATCGTTATACGGCAAGTGGAACCAAGTGCTGTACAGTACTGACCCACAGACGTACGAGCTACATCTAGCTAACAGGCAGGTGAGACACGCACACGCACGCACGCACGCACGCACGCACGCACGCGCACACGCGCGCACGCACTCACGCACGCACACACACACACACGCGCGCGCGCGCACACACACACACACACACACACACACACACACACACACACTGTTCTGTGTGGTAGCTTGACATTAAAATTAAGTCGCACCAGTATAATTCAGATTAGCCAGTAGATGGCGCTGTGGGGGCTACTCTACAGAGATAATTTTCAACAGTCTTTAATAGATGAGAAAAATCGCATTTTCTTACAATTATACATTTAAAATAGAGTGAAAATATTTGTTTAGTAACTTTATATTAAAATTAAACCCAAGTACCTCTCTGTAATTATAGTAGGTTCTTTTGCTCAAGTAACACCACTAACATTTACATTTGCTAGTATCTGGCGATGTATGTGCTACACTACAGAGCTAGTATTTATCTGTAACAGTCATTATGACGTGAAGAAATGGCATATTTGATGAAATAAAGCATTTAAACTGGAGTGTAAGTATTCCTTGTGGTAGCTTAATATTAAAAATGAATCTTCAATGCTTTAAAAAAATAATTATACAGAGCACTAGCTGACGTACCGCTGATACGCGTGACCCGTGAAATATGACGTGTGCCGCGAGACACTATGTACTATTATTGAGCCATCATTGGAATATGTTAATTTCATGTATTTACTTTTTATTACGACAATTTAACACTATTCCTAATAGTATTTGATCGAATTGAAATTTTAGTTTATTATTTTCCAGACCTTAGTTACCATGTCGGGCAAATTTATCAATCTGATTTTAATTAGAATGTTTTTGGCCAAACTTGTCTGGTCACAAGAAGGGGGAGCAGGCGGAGGAGAAAAACGGTAAGGAGGAGAAGTGGGAGGAAGGCGACGATGAAGAGAAGAAGCCTGATGAGAAATGTCCCGAGATTACGCGTCTTCCCAACTCCACGGAACTATGGCTGCAGGAGAGACGACTGGAGAAGACGGAGGAGGTACTCGGAGCTGCAGAGGAAGATACACCCTTCCCTCCCTGTTCCTCTATCACCTCCCCTCTAACCTGCTGCCCTTCCCTCCCTGTTCCTCTATCACCTCCCCTCTAACCTGCTGCCCTTCCCTCCCTGTTCCTCTATCACCTCCCCTCTAACCTGCTGCCCTTCCCTCCTTGTTCCTCTATCACCTCCCCTCTAACCTGCTGCCCTTCCCTCCCTGTTCCTCTATCACCTCCGCTATAACCTGCTGCCCTTCCCTCCCTGTTCCTCTATCTCCTCCGCTCTAACCTGCTGCCCTTCCCCTATATCCTGTAGGGAAAATACCGTGGGTACCTAAACCTGCTGGGTAGGCTTGCACTCCCATTAGGGGTGGCTTGCACTCCAATTAGGGGTGCCTCCGCACCTAACCCTAACACATGGTAGCGGTTGCTACATGTTTCTATATCGATGTGTTCGCGTCTTCTCTTCAGAACTATTTCTTCAGTCACTTCACGATGCTTTTAAACGAGCAGTTGTCTCCAGAGCGCATGCGCACACTGCCGCCTACGGACTGCAGGTTCCGGCCTGACATGAGATACATGGAGATGGGAGATCTGGGTACGCGCTCTTCTACGTCCAGGGTTTCTTCCCCAAGCCCGGGTTCTCCCCAGTCCTGGGTGCCTTCTTTATTACTTTCAGCCTGGATAAGTTTTTGACCCTCTATATTTTTCGATAGCATCTTCGCATGACGTCTTCCTGTGGTGACGTCATTTTAATCATCGTCGATTCCTTAAAAATGAACCCTGTCTTACGCCAATTAAAAATATTATTGCCTGTAGATGGCGCTACAGCGGCTAAGAGCGCTCTGGAAGAGAAGCAGCGAGAGACGACGTATCGCATGAAGAAAAGCGGAGAGCACTGGAAACCCAGGTACCCACCTATCTACCAACTAAGCACGCCCTCTCGCACGCGCGAACGCACATACATACACACTCACACATATACACACACATACACACACACACACACACACACACACACACACACACACACACACACACACACACACACGACACACACACACACACACACACACACACACACACACACACACACACACAC